TCTTCCTGATGTCCCAAAAAAGGTGTTTAAAGGGCCAGCACCAGTCACATAAAGAGTCCATAAGCCCCAATATGCCCACTGACAGTCTTAAAGGCCATACACACCAAATAAAAGTGCATACATTTTCACAATCTCCCAGGGGCCATAGTCATGCGGGAGGAGGCTGGCAAATAGGCTTCTCCACAACCCAGGGAAGCAGGGCAATTTGCCATTTAAAGGGCCCATTACAAATAGCAGTTTGTAACAAGGTGTCAATCCATATCTGCCAAGTGACCCTAGGTAGGGGGACCAGTCTCTATTCTGCTCTGTGTCCGTGTGCATCAGGGGCTCTGAGGACAGGTGTCAATCCATATGTCAAGGTGTCAATATGTCAAGTGTCAATCCATATTCATTGTGATTTAGGAATGTTAGGTGATTTCTGCCCTTTATGGATTAAAACCAGACTCTGTATCAACTGTGTAATTTTCCATGGGAGTTTTGCCATGGATCCCCCATCCGGCATGCCACAGTCCAGGTGTTAGTCCCCTTGAAACAACTTTTCCATCCCTATTGTGGCCAGAAAGAGTCCCTGTGTGTTTTAAAATTCGCCTGCCCATTGAAGTCTATGGCAGTTCGCCCGGTTTGCCGGTTCGCGAACATTTGCGGAAGTTCGCGTTCGACGTTCGCGAACCGAAAATTTTGTGTTCGTGACATCACTAGAGGCCACTAGGGCACTCCTAATATATAGCCAATAGTGTTAGTATAGTGAATGCAGAGTGTGTGTTAGTGTAGTGAATGCAGTGTGTGTGTGGGTGTGTGTGTAGTGAATGCAGAGTGTGTGTGTGTTAGTGTAGTGAATGCAGAGTGTGTGTGTGTCAGTGTAGTGAATGCAGAGTGTGTGTGTGTCAGTGTAGTGAATGCAGTGTGTGTGTGTTAGTGTAGTGAATGCAGTGTGTGTGTTAATAAAGTGTATGCAGTGTGTGTTAGTGTAGTGAATGCAGTGTGTGTGTGTTAGTGTAGTGTATGTAGTGTGTGTGTGTTAGTGTAATGTATGCAGTGTGTGTGTGCAGTGTTTGTGTGTGTTAGTGTAGTGAATGCAGTGTGTGTGTGTTAGTGTAGTGTATGCATGTAGTGTAAATGGAGCATTCCAAAAATGTTATTCCCCCCTCCCTGGTTCTTACCTGGTCCAGGGAGGGGGGAGATTCCATGATCCCTGGTGGTCCTGTGGCATTGTGGGGCCCCCCGGCTCCCTGTACTTGCAGAGGGGGCCCAGTGGACTGCAAGTGTATTTACAAGCTCTTCCCTCTCTGTAACTCCTGCGAGCGTGCCGTGCGTGCCGAGCGTTGCCATGGTAACCCGGGGCAACGCTCTGACAGCCGCGGGTCTCGCGTGAGTTACAGAGAGGGAAGAGCTTGTAAGTACACTTGCAGTCCGCTGGGCCCCCTCTGCAAGTACAGGGAGCCGGGGGCCCGCGGCTGCACACATAGATAGCGATATTCGCTATCTATGTGTGGAGAGAGGGAATGTGGGGCCCAGGACTGCCAGAGCAGTGGCTATGAACTGCTGAGTAAAGACAAAAAAGGGACTAATTTGGGGCACACCCATAATATGCATTTTGCAGGAATGATGCTGTAGTGACCAAAATTCATAGATAATACAGATTAAGTTACAGCACATACATAAAAATATATTTTTAAATCTTATAAGGCTACTTAAAATCGCCTATATCAGCAAACAAATATGGAGATATATTTCATAGTACCCCAATATTAATGGATCCTAAACTAATTCCAAAAATAGGAGACAAATTACATAATGCTAGTGCTAAATAAGCTAAAGTATATAGAATTCATATATTGTAAGACCCGAAATCCCATGTTTGTTTGCTGAGATAGACAAGATTTAAAAATGTATTTTTATGTGTGCGCTGTAACTTAATCTGTATTATGTATGAACTGCTGGGTTTCATGTGTGTGTTTTTTGAGGCATTCGGTTGTATCTTAAACTTGGCCATGGTGCTTTTCTTTCGTTAGCTCGCTTAACTTGCCACACTTTTCTTACATGATGTCTGTCATGTGACATCTAATGGACGAGTTCTAGGGCTCTGCTTATGGAAGACAAATCTGAGGGGACAATAAAAGTTCTATCCTTTTCAGGCATAGAAATTGATACTTCCTTAGTATTTTGTAAGCAAAAACAAAACAAAGTCAATAAAATGCTGCTGGCAGTTTGCACGGTTGTGGCAGCTGGGATTTTGTTTCTGAAAGTGGTACAAGGTCTCCTTGGCCTCTTTAATTTTGCATGTAAGGTCATTCCAGTGGGGCAGGTTTTCAACAGACACCATGGGGTGCCTATATATCCAATACCATGATTCCATTGTTTTGTGACATTTTAGAAGATCTTTGGATTTAGAAGACTGTTTTGCAGAAATGCAAAAGGTTTTATTATTTTTTTTCAAGTCTTTTTTTTTTGTTGTTGACTGACAATACAAAAAGGTACAGTATACAGGAATCCAGTATGCCGAAGTAATCGTAATAGTTAAAATTATCATATTTAGCAATATCCATATTAAAAACAGTGTCGAGATAAACCTCAAAATGAGCCCTGTATCCACACTGCCAGGTTTTTTTACTAAAGTATTAAAAGAAAGAAGGATACATAAAATAAAACCCATTAATGTCATCCATAGATATCATATTACCATGAAAAAAAAAAAATAGGCTCTGTACTCAAGAGCTAGTTACGTGCATTCTCAGTGGGAGACAAATAAGCAACTGTCGCCACACATTTTTAATCCCATGGATACATCAAGGGATAGAAGGCAACAGGGAGGAACAGTAAGAGAAAACGTACAGAGAAGAAAAAACATGGTGGAAAAAAGAGTAGTTAAGAGAAGAGTTGGTCACTGTTGGCGCAGCCAGTTCTGACCATACGACTGATGAGAGAGGCTACACCCAGGGAAGGAGGGGAGGGGGGAAGCAGAGGGAGGTCACATGAGCCGACCCCAAATAACTGTAGGCTGTCAACCAGCCTTTTTTTAGTCAGTCTGCAAACTCTGGTTCAAAATATTTTAAAAGGTTGGGGAAGGTCAGGTGTCCAGACTCAAGAGACACCATTACTCATCCCCAGTTGGCATCCCTATTGCACAAGTTGCCCCTCAAGTGATCCTCCCCTGACCTTCGCCCTAGCGATCCATTTCAGTTATTCTCAGGGTACAATTGTGGCAGAACCACTGCTTATTTGTATATTTTCCCCTGGTTTCATGTGTTTTCCCATGTATTTTGTGTCTTATAACCTATTTTCCAGTTCGGGAGTGTTCCTACGAATGGAACCCATTCATCTCCCAAATGGGGACCACCCCAGTATCCCATTAGAACATTAGGAACCCAGGGTGTGAGCAGCTGTTCCAAGCCCTTAAAAATGCCCTGATAAATGCCCCTGTCCTGGCTTCCCCTAATCTGAATAAACATTTTCTCATCCACACAGATGCTTCTATGTTTGGATTAGGAGCAGTGCTGAGCCAGGTCGGGAAGACTGGTGGAGAACGTCCTGTACCTTACCTGACAAAGGTGCAGTTATATGCACCGAAACGCGCGTTGGGTCCATTTGTAACGCTCACTTAATCGAGCACTTTTAGCACTCATGCACACACAAGGTATTTAGCACCCCTTTTTGTTCTTAGATTTTTGGTTTTGTGGGGGTAGTTTGGAGGCTAAGACTTGGAGCATTCAGATATGAGGGATCAGCTTAGAACACCCACGAAGGTGTTGCTTTAGGAGAATTAGGGACTAGTATTTAGAGCTATCTCTATATTTGGCAATAATTGTGTGTTTAACATAGAAATCTGTCCCTCTTTCTCATCCTCACCTCTCATATATCTATGAGGTTGCTGTATCGAAGGGGATAAGAATACTTTTACCAAAATGCTGCTTCATTAAATATGAGTGATTTTTAACTTATTTATGTTGTAAAGCTTGTATATTACTCACATTAATTCTTCTTATCACAACCCATTTACTCAGGTCTATAGTTCTGTTGCCATATGGTCTTTTGCTCTCAAGGTTATGTTTATTTCCCAGATCACTATTTAGTGAACGTTCCCTATATTAATCCTGTTTATCTGGACTTCGCAGCCATTATAAGGGTTGATCTAAGCCCCCTGGAGTATAGCTGCAGTTGGTTGCCGTTAAACAAGGATTGGGAGATGTGGTTGCAATATACATAACAATTATATCTGCTTCCCAGCATAAGTTCCGTTTGTATCATTATTTTCTTGTCTTACCTAATAAAGTTTTTTTGTTTTTTTTATTAGATACTATAATATAGTATCACATATAGCTGAGGATAGTTATGATTATTGCCCCACAGATCTTAGCTCTAAGCTAGTTACTATAGTTGCAATTTTGATTCTTTCCCTTCTTTAAAATCCAGTATTGAGTCCCCCCTTGATTGGGGTGTATTCACTCTTTATCTATACGTATTGTAAAAGTTAATTTAGGGGGAAATAATCTTGGAAAGGTATATTATGTTGTAGAACTACAACTCCCATGATGCTGTTCATGTCTTTACATTGCCTTTAGAATGACAAAGCATCATGGAAGCTGTAGTTTTAAAACATCTAGGGATCTACCTTTTGGGCACCCATGGTCTAAAACTTTTCCTTTCCCAAATATTTTTTTATGAGAGATGACGGAATAAATTAAAATAAAAATGGTGTAAATTTACCTATTTTAAATTTTTACATTTGTCTGCAAAGCAATCTACACACAAAATCGATGAGATATGTTTAAATGCCAGCTACACATCCCTTGCTTCAAATAAATGTACTGCTAATATTTTTTCAATCTAAAAGTTATTGGTAGTGAAGGAGTTAATTAAATTAAAATGAACAGAAGGAAATTCATCTGTTCTGTTCCATTAAATGCTGAAAATAGGAAGTACAGTCATACAGTAATGTTGCAAGCCTGTGTATTTTCAGATTTTGATATTTATACGTGCAAAGCTCACATGTCTACCTACTCAAAATGTCAAAACTCTATTTAGAGTACAATTACATTCACATACATTTTGAAGATCCTTTGGTAAACATCTACTCATGGACATCTTGTGTCTCGTTTTGCCATGTTTTACCTACATAATTTTCACCTGCCCTTTTTGCCTGTGTGTGCTGAGAGTGAAATGCCAAGTGCTGGAAAGAAAATATTTTAAGTCGGACATAAATTTAACATTCAATGAATGTGATAAATTTGAACTTCTGGATTATAAAATCGGTGTACATTGTAATAAGATAGAAGCCCTCAATGAATCCTTGTCAGAAGTTCCTCTGGAAACCGACTGGCTTTGTCTAACAAGTTATAAGGGATCCAAAATTGAAACAGCATCGTTTTCTCGATTGAAGAACCTCCAAGCACTGTATGTCACTGGGGTATTTGAGCTTTTACCCAAAGCCTTTTCAGGATTACCTCAACTCTCTACTCTATGGATAGAATTAGAAAACACTTCTGCCACTATTACAGTTCATGAAGGTACTTTTGATGGTCTAAACAATCTTTTGGATCTCAAATTATTTGGTATACAGTTTTCTGCATTGGATACATCAATCTTTAACCATCTTAATCATCTAGAACATCTGATATTGGAACATAATCACATCAGTTTCTTGTCAACAGTAACCAAATCCTTAAGAAAACTAAAAACATTACAAAAACTATCAATAATCAAAAATAACATTTACATCCTAAGGGAAGAAGACTGTTTATACTCAGACTATCCTACAAACCGTGAACAATACGTGGATTTTAACATAAGCGTCCTTGATCTAAGCGAAAACTTTATACAGTCTATCGAGAATAATTCTTTGTGTAACTTTCCATACTTGTCCCTTTTTAAAGCTGACAAAACTCCGATTCGCATTGAGCAACTTTTCCAATCAGGAATTAAAATGACTAAAACACTTTTCTTAACAAATATATACTTTAATTCAGTGGAACTCTGTAAGTGTTCTTCTTGTATGAACGTGACAGAGCTTATATTAGGATATAATTCAGTGTTTGAATTTGATACATACACGGACACGTGCTTAAATTTGAAAAAAGTTGATTTATCACATAATTCATTGAAAGCAATACATAACAATCAATCAAGAAAATTAAAAAACTTAGCATATTTAGATTTATCATTTAATAAAATAAAAGTTTTCAATATTTGCCCAAATGAAACTTTGCATGATTTTGTCATGAAACTTGAGCATTTAAACATATCTTTCAATTTTGTAACATATCTTGCCAAAGGACAATTCAGTTGTCTGCATCATCTTCAGGTTTTGTCCTTAGAACATAACAAAATTTATACAATAGAAAATTTAGCATTTGATGGTTTAAAAATATTAAAGGTTCTACACCTACAAAATAACAACATACTGCAAATTACGAATTTTACATTTTACAGTTTATTATCATTAAAATATTTAAATTTAGATGAAAACATTTTAACTAGTATAGCATTATATGCATTTTTTGATTTTCCCCAGCTTGAAGATATCAGGTTAGCTTTTAATACTGACATTGATGAAATAAATTGGTCTCGATATATTGGTCGCTCTGTAATACACATTTCTGTTAAAACTTACAAAACTTGTGTTAAATTGTTGGCAAAAAATTTTAATGAGCTTTCTAATTTAGTAACTTTAGAGATTAAGTCAAAGTTTATATATGTTGATACATGCCAACATTTTGTTTTTAGTAGGCTGAAAAAAATCTACTTAAGAAATAACCTGTATTTCACTTGTTTTAACTCGGTTAATCAAGCCTTAAGGAATTTTACAAATTTGGAAAAATTATCCTATGATGCCAATTCTCAGTATTCCACAGAAATAGTTACACTTAATTCATCATTGCAATATTTAAAGAAACTAAAATTTCTTCGTATAGAAAATACTGATAAATTAATAGGAAGATCGTCAATAAACATGTATGAGGTATTTAATGGACTGTCAAATGTAAAAGTCTTGCACTTGAAAAACTCTGGATTAAATAAGTTTGATTCACCTGCAATCTTTTGTGATTTGAAGTCCTTGGAATTTCTACTAATTGAAAACCAGAACATTCAAGAATTGAATGAACATGCATTCACATCTATGCCTAATCTTAAATATATGTATTTTACGAATACAATTTTCCCTTGCCATTGTAAGTTTAGTGGGTTAGTGACATGGTTAAAATATAATACACAGGTTTCCATTATTAATTTTCATGAACAAAATTGTTTTATAAACTCTATGGAAACTAACCTGATATCGTTCTTGCATGCAAATTGCAAGGACGATTCCGGTTTTAAAATATTTATATCCACTTTTACCATCATATTGGTATTTATGTTCATTTCAATATGTCATGAAATTATTTTCTGGTATTTCTGTTATTTGTTCTATATAGTGATGTGCTGGTTGAATCACAGATTCAAAGGACAGGTTCAAAACCAATGTCATTATGATGTGTTTGTCTCTTACAACACTCGTGATGAACAGTGGGTTACAGAACAGTTGCTTCCCAACTTGGAGCAAAATGGTCCCCCTTTCTTTAAGGTGTGCATCCATAATCGGGATTTTGAGATTGGCAGAGACATAGTTGAGAATATCGTGGACAGTATCCATAAAAGCAGGTGGACTATCTGCCTCATTACACATAGTTACCTACAAAGTCACTGGTGCTCATTAGAGATGCGAATGGCAACTTACAGACTTGTAGCTGAGAATAAAGATTCTCTCCTGGTGATATTCCTTGATAAGATTTTAAAGAAAGAGATACAATGTTACCATAGACTGACTAAGTTGTTGCATAAGAAAACTTACCTGGACTGGCCAGGCAACGCAAGGGGACAAGAGTTATTTTGGGCAAGGTTACGTAATGTTATAGCTAGTATACCGGTAGTACACAAAAAAATGAATGTATAGTCCATACATTACCCATACATGTACAACCCATATATATTACACGTTTGTTATGCCTGCAGCTCCTGCCCTTGGTGGACTCAAAGGAAACTGTAATACAGGGGTTCCCAAAAGGTAGATCCCCAGATGTTTTAAATCTACAACTTCCATGATGCTTTGTCATTCGAAAGGCATGCAAAGCATCATGGGAAGTGTAGTTCTACAACGCCTGGGGATCTACCTTTTGGGCACCCTAGCTACATCAACCTCCAGCTCCGCTACTGCATATGAACTGAAACAGCTCAGTATATAAAATATTTCTGAATTGCGGCTACAGGCTGATGAGTTTGGGCATGTATTACATATTAACAATCTTCAGTAGCCAGATAACTATTTTTACTGTGTATTATTGGGCATTATCGATAGAGATGTGCATGGACAAAATATTAGTTTGTTATTTTCATTACAGTTCATTAATTTTTTTATTGTGGTTCCTCTGAAATATGGAAAATATCATCGATTGGGAGCGAAACTAATTTTGGACGCCATTATTCCTATTTTTCAAAGAAAACCAAAGTAAGGTGTTGTTTAGCAGATAGCTCCCTAATTTGGTATCTTTGAAAATGGCAATCCCACATAAGGGTACCAAATTTTGGGGCTATCATCTAAATACAGCTGAAAGATCAAAATTTATAGAAGAGTTTTGTTCTGATCTTTTATGATCTTTCAGTAGTTTAGTAGATAACTTCCTAATTTGGTATGCTTATGTGGAATTGCCATATTTAAGGATTAATAAGGTAGCTATCTGTTATACAGCACCCTACTTTAACCCCTTAAGGACACATGACATGTGTGACATGTCATGATTCCCTTTTATTTCAGAAGTTTGGTCCTTAAGGGGTTAATAAATATGGCAATCCCACTAAAGGGTATCAAATTAGGAGGCTACCTATTAAACAGCTGAAATATCAAAATTAAGATGATTTACATCATTTTGACTTTTCAGCTGTTTAGAAGAGAGCTCTCTAATTTTCTGTCCTGTTTATATTGCATACATTCTGTATACATACTGTGTATTTCACATACATTCTGTACATATAAAGCATTTACACAACATTTAATTTGGAATGAAATTATATGCACGTGTCCAATTATCAAGAAATATTTGTATTTCCAAAAAATAACATCAAATACCTCAGTATCTAATTTTTCTTATTATTTTATTTTCTGCCTACTGTATTGTGTAAAACTGATATCTACTATCTACATAACAAATAGCGTTTTCAGAATTTTATTCTTAATTATTTCACGATGAGGATTCCATCAAATGCGTACATATAAAAAAAAAAATTACATAATCCTATTTACTTTTGTTATTTAAAGTTCTAATATCATAATAATTGATGTCATTAAGTGTTCATTTCCTTATTCACATGGAATAAAGTATTTCGGAGTCTATATGCAATATTTTGTATTCTTTTAAACGTATAACTGTAAACCTATTAAATGCTTTGGTTTTTTTTTTACATGAAGTTTTGGCTCTTTTTGGATTATAAGGAACTAGAAGTCTGCTGCAGAATGCTCTTATCCTGTATGAATTGAACCCTGCCTTAGCCATATCTCTGGTGGGGGTGAAGTCATGAGCCCCATAGATGTTTGAAAACGAGGTAACACTGAACTGTAGCTGGTGCTTGGCTACTCCAGTCACTATTAATACTTCAATTAGTTGAACTGGTTATGGTGCCTATAATGGCCCCTTTATAATTACCCTCTTAAAACTCAAACCTCGATGTCACTCACATCCATGCTTTATGCCTTAGAAATGCAACAAAAAACCCAGACAAGCTCTCATTCCTAAAAGCTTGGGAAAAATAATTGAAATAAACTCTGGAGGATCAACAATAGCAACAAATATTCCGAGCACGTAATTACCCTCTGAGCTCTCTTTATCACCGACGCTGAAGCACTGGCCCTCTTATAGCATAATTAGGCCACGCCCACTTCATGACATTATCATGTTATTGCTGACACCCACTCATATTTCAGGGGCATAGTTATCAACGAATCGCCCCAGACCTATAATACTTGAGCTCTGTATTAATTCAGTGCCGTGTTGTAATTTCCTTGTGAACCCAAGAACACATTCCTTGTTCAGCGATTTCCTGGTCTACTCTATTATCTGTACTCCTTGACCCGACTTGGCTTTTTGTTGTAGTGTACCTACGAAATCCCTGACCTCAATTTGTTCCTTTACCTTGCTATTCTGCTACTAAATGCACTGTAATACGCTATCATTTATCTCTCTATTTGGATAGCCATTTGTCTAAGCACTGCGTGCAGGGTTGTTATGCTTACCTTGACAGATTATAGAAGGGTGCATAATACTGAGACATTTAATAGGGGAAAATTGCCAACTTAGGCAGTTTCTGAAATAGCAAATATTAGTAAGAAAGAGTTTTGTTCCTTAATTGCTAGAAATGAGAAGTGCCCTTACACAATGCCACAATGATGTAAACACCAGTGTATTTTAAATACACGAGTTAATTCACATACTTACAGAGTTTAGAATATCTACATATTCACGCACTGTCCAAAGATTGTGTTACAAAAAATAATGAATATTTTGGGATGGATTACCTATATCATGTCTACCTGTTCCTTTTGCCTATGTGTGCTGAGAATGAAATGTCAAGTACTGGAAAAAGAATCTTTTAGCCCAGACATACATTTAACATTTGACAAGTGTGGTGAGTTTGAGCTCCTTAACTATAAATTAGGTGTAAATTGTGACAATGTGGAAGCCCTCAATGAATCGTTGGTAGAGGTTCCTCTGGAAACCGACTGGCTTTGTCTATCAAACTATAAAGGACGTAAAATTGAAACAGCTGCCTTTTCTCAACTGACGAACCTCCAAGCACTATATATAACTGGAAATGTTGAGCTTCTATCTAGAACCTTTTCAGGATTATCTCAACTTTCCACTCTATGGATAATTTTAGAAAACATATCTACCACCATTACATTTCACAAAGATACTTTTGATGGACTAAACAACCTCCTGGAGCTCAAATTATTTGGTGTACAGTTTTCCGCATTGGATACATCAATCTTTAACAATCTTCATCACCTCGAACATCTGATATTAGAAAATAACAGCATCCGTTTTTTGTCAACAGTAACAAAATCTTTAGGAAGACTAAAAACATTACAAAAACTATCAATAATCGACAATGATATTGATGTCCTGAGGAAAGAAGACTGCTTACATTCTGAATATCCTGCAATCAATGGTCAATATGTGTATTTTAACGTCAGCGTTCTAGATTTGAGTATGAACAAGTTACAATTGATTGAGAATAATTCTTTGTGTAATTTTCCACACTTATCACTTTTTAAAGCTAACAAAACTGGAATCCAGACTAAGCAAATGTTCCAATCAGGGATTAGAATAATTTTAACTGTTTCATTAACAATGACCGATATGCATTTAATGGAACTCTGTGAGTATTCGTCATATTTTAAAGTGAAAGAACTTTTATTAGGATATAATTCGGTCTTCAAAATTAACACATACACAGGCACATGCACAAACTTGGAAAAAATAGATTTATCACATAATTTATTGGAAGGGATATATTCCAATCAAATCAAAACATTGAAAGACTTAGTATATTTGGATGTATCCTTTAACAGAATAAATGTTTTGGACATTTGCCCTGTTGAAACCTTAACTGTTTTTTCTATGAAACTAGAGCATTTAAATATTTCTTTTAATTATGTAACATCTCTTTCCAAAGGACAATTTAGTTGCCTTCAAAATCTTCAAGTCTTATCTTTAGAATATAACAAGATCTACACTATAGAAGATTTTGCATTTGATGGTGTAACATTGTTAACTTTTCTTAATCTAGAAAATAACAATTTATTTGAAATAACAAATTTTACATTCTACAGTCTTTTTTCTCTAAAACAGTTAAATTTATACGAAAACAGTTTAACTGATACAGAACCAGGTGCATTTTTTTGGTTCAACAAACTTGAAGACATCAGGTTGATGTTTAACAATATACTTGATGAAATATGGTGGTCTCAGTATATTGATGTCTCTGTACAACATATTTCTGTAAAAACCTCAAACACTTTTCTTTCATTGTTATCAGAAAACTTTAATAAATTATCAAATTTAGATACCATGGAGATAGAATCTAAGCATGTAGTTGTTGATACATGCCAGGAATTTGTTTTCACTAGGTTGAAAGAAATTTACTTGAGGGATAACTTGTTTTGTACTTGTTTTGGATCGGTTGATCAAGCCATTGGGAATTTTACAAATTTGGAAAAACTGTCTTATGATGCAAATTCACAAGACTCGACTGATATAGTTACACTTAATTCCTCATTGCAATATTTAAAGAAATTAGCATTTCTTCGTATAGAAAACACTGATAAACTGATAGGAAGAGCTCCAATCAATGTGCATGAATTATTTCATGGATTATCAAACCTGAAGATCTTGCACTTGAAAAATTCTGGAATAAATCATTTTGATTCAGCAGCAATTTTTTCTGATTTAAATTCTCTTGAGTTTCTTCTTATTGAAAACCAAGACATTCAAGAAATGAATGAGTATGCATCCACTTCAATGCCTAACCTTAGTTACATTTATTTTAAGAATGTAATTTTCGCCTGTAACTGTAAATTTGGTGGGTTATTGTCATGGTTGGAATATGATACTCGGGCTTCGATTATTAATGCCCATGCGCAAAATTGCTTTATAAACTCTATAGAAACTAACATGCTCTCTTTTTTACGGTCAAATTGTCAGTATGACTCGAATTTTCGAATATTTATATCCACTTTTTCCACTATATTGGTATTTATGTGCATCTCTATATTTCATGAAAGCATTTGGTGGTATAGTTTGTATTTGTTCTATACAGTTAAGTGCTGGCTGAATCACAGATTGAGAGGAATGGAGGAAGACTTGTATCGATACGATGCATTTGTCTCCTATAACACTCATGATGAGCAATGGATAACAGAGCACTTGCTTCCCAACTTGGAGCAAAATGGTCCCCCCTTTTTAAGAGTGTGCATCCATAATCGGGACTTTGAGATTGGCAGAGACATAGTTGAGAATATCGTGGACAGTATCTATAAAAGCAGGTGGACTATCTGCCTTATTACACGTAGCTACCTACAAAGTCACTGGTGCTCTCTAGAGATGCGAATGGCAACCTACAGGCTTGTAGCAGAGAGTAAAGATTCTCTCATATTCATATTCCTTGATAAGATCTCTAGGGAAGAGCTACAATGTTATCACAGACTCACTAAATTGTTGGATAAGAAAACCTACCTGGAATGGCCACATGATCTCAATGGACAAGAGTTGTTTTGGGCAAGGTTGCGTCAAGTCATTGGTGGTTAACAGAACATTAATGCATAGTCTAATTCAAGTTTCCACTGTGCAGGATTAACATTGCACAATGAACAATATTAGCAGAGGCACATGTTATCATGAGTAAGGCTGTGACGTTTTGTTTATTCGTGTTTCTCCTTTCAGAAATAATTTATTAAGTGGAGAAATGAACAGAATAATAACATTCCACTGACAGCTATACAAGTCCTCCTTTATATTGGCAATCGCCATAGATAATGACCCTTACTTCCAAATAATACCATGACAAATATATGTAGACATAATAAAATAACTTCTAAATAGACGGCAGAATCTATTGATTAAGAACTTTTGCTTGCGCGGTTGAGGTCTGTAAAAATACCTGCGCAAGTGACCTCCTTGTGAAGATTTATACCGTCAATGTGTACAGCCTATACAGCCAATCCAGTGCCTTAGCCAACCTGCCAAAGAACGAAGCAGCTTTGCGCCAAAAGACACAGCCAATCAGTAGCCTGCCACTTTCTACTTTTTTGTACATATGGAATGTAGTAAAGAAATATTAAAGAACAATCATACAGCAGAGAATGTAATACATGTCTGCTTAAAAGCTATGGGGTGATGAATAGAACTCAGGCCACATAAATGAAAATTTCACAAATATGTCATCTGATTCCTTATCAACACCCACCTAGTGTATGCTATTAAAATTCATATTTGCTAGTTACATTTTTAGAACCTGTTGGGGAAGTTGCAAAGAAAGGATTCCATAGAATAGATAAGTATCCCCAGTTTTGGTTGGGGTCAACCAAAAGAAGTTTGTTGCCAATTTACTCTTGATGTTCATAGGGAATGGGTTGATAAATATAATTTAAATCATTTTATATACAGTGTATATATTGTATCATAATATGTAACCTTTAAGGGACATGAATCACTTGACCATTATTATTTTTTTAAATCAGCAGACACTTTTAAATGAAATACAAAACAAAATAAAGGAAGAAACACTTTGATAAGTAAAGTAACAAACTTTTATAAATTTACTTTAAATTTGATCAGATTGCATTAGTGGGCACACCACTCAGCAAGGGGAGTTTCTTCAGTCCCCCTTCTCTGATCCACCCAACACAGTTTCAGACCAGTCTGCTAATCACAGAAACAGGGCATCAATGTGCAGTAGGAGGAGAGAAAAACCGGACACCGAGCCTGCTCTGCATGAATCTCACTGATAAGACTCCCTCTCTTCACCCCTTGTCAGGATGTTGCAAGGTTAAGAGGTCTTCTAACAGTGCATGTGTAAATCTGTCAGGCATCCCCAATGCATTTTTCCAGAATTCTCAGGGATAGGATACCGATTGGTTGGATCAGTGTCCTTCCTGGAGTGGGTGTGGAAAACATAGGAAAGAGGAAGCAGGTAAACATGAAAAGAAAAGTCAGATTTACATGCTTTTTAGGCCTGCAGAGCAAGGTAACTATTTTATGCAAAGCTAAAGCTCTTGAATGAGACAGATGTCTCAAAGTGATGCATACCCCTTTAATAAACTAGATTTGTTCATTTGTTGATGTTATCAAAGTTTCTGTAAATAATGCATTTCTTTTTTAGTTAGTGTCTGTGCTACTGTACGTTAAAATAACAACTGATCTTTTAGGATTATATTTGCAAGTAAACTGTTTAAAAATAGTATAAAATGTATTCAGTACAGTCTGATCTGTTATATGAACCCTTTATTTTTGTGCATTAAAATATAAGCATAACATAGATTCATGTGTGACTTTTATATTAAGATATGTAAAAAAGTTTCAGTAGTCTTTTAAAGTTTTGTTCAGAAAAAAATAAATGTTATGTTAAAATAATATATAGTGACATAACATACCATAAACAATAAACATATTCTTGTAACTCACTTTATGTGGTCCTCCCCTGTCTTTAATGTATGGATTGAAAACACCCCTGCCTTCACCAATACCAACTACCACAATTTGCATATTTTCAATGCGTTGTCATAGTAACTCCATCAGAATACTATTAAAGGTTTGCTCACCCTGCAATCATCTGAGCAAGTAGTGAATTGAAAAACCTACTTGCAACATTAAGTTATAAAAAGCCAAGTTACAGTTTAGCTAGTTTAGCACACATTTTACAATTTGGTTTCAATTCACTACAATTCACAATTGACAATAACGAATAAGCCCCAATAAATATTCCACTTGACTCGTAACATTTTAAAGCAGTTTATTGAAACTACATACACCATGCTTGAATACTAAAACTACATTTGTTGATCCCTAACTAAAGCTCCTGCCCACGTACATGTGTATTTTTGGGAATATACATATACAGATATATATGGCATATATGAGTGTGTGAAAAAGCAGATATGTGTGTGGTGCCCATCAGTATATTTGTGTGACACTTTATTGTGCATTCACTAAGCTTAGGACATGGGACATTTAGGGTTAACGTTAGGGTTCAAATTAGGGTTAGTATTAGGGACTTGTTCATATTTAGTGATATTTCACATTAGGGGAATATATATTAATAGTGATTTCTCACACTTTATTTTAACCCTTACCCCAAGGGTTAGGGTAAGAATAGAGTGTGAGAGAGGTTAAAATCACTTACCTAACCCTAATTTTTACCCTAACTTAACCCTAAATGTCCCGTGTGACTAAGCTTAGTGAATGCACTAACTATTATGAAAGTGTAAAACTAGTTTTACTTACCTTCCAGGAGCTTGCTGTGGAGGAGTAGCAGGAGTGCTAGCACGCATGTGCAGCACAGGATCCAGCTGATTTCCTTCACCGGAAGTGATGAGGGTAGGGGATTTTAATGAGGTAGGGGAATTTGATAGAACACCAGCGCTACTAAAAGGTGGCACAGGCGGCCGCCTTAGGCCGCACCGGCCCGGGGGCGTAAATGTCCGGGTGACCGGCAGGAGAGAAGCACACATCGCTCCTCTCCTGCCAATCACTTCTTGTAGCGTGGCCGAGAGGCAGCAGCTCCCCCACAGACCAGCCTTCCTGCATCATGCTGCAAACTGTGTGGAGGGGGCGGGGATATGAACACGTCATATCCCTGCTCCCTGCATAGCACGTAACACGGCTGGCGCCTTGCAGGAACCTGGAACTACCGCCCCCTCCGTATCTGCATGATTGGAGCTGGGTGGGAGAGCAGAGGCTGGGAGAGGAGAGTCAGCCCATAACTCCCAACTACCTCAGCCAGATCTTCACACTGAATTCCAGGGAAGCCACCCTCCTGCACCCAAAAGTTAGTAAACAGGAGGGTGGCTATAAAAGTATATATGATCAGCATGTGTCTGTGTATGTGTGTCTCTGTGTGTATATCTAAATGTCTGTCAGTGTGTGACTGTGTGTGTGTCTGTGTGTTTATGTCTGTCAGTGTGTGACTGTGTGTGTGTATCTGTATGTCTGTCAGTGTGTGACTGTGTGTGTATCTGTATGTCTGTCTGTGTGTTTCCTGTATGTCTGTCAGTGCATGTGTCTTTATCTGTATGTCTGTCTGTGTGTGTATCTTTGTCAGTGCATACGTCTGTACCTGTCTGTCAGTGTGTGTCTGTGTATGTATGTATGTCTGTCAGTGTTTGTATCTGTTTGTCAGTGTGTGTATCTGTCTGTGTGTCTGTGTGTATCTGTATGTCTGTCAGTGTGTATGTGTTTGTATATGTGTGTCTGTTTGTCACTGTATGTGTGTATCTGTGCATCTGTATGTCTGTGTGTCTGTATTTCTGTCACTGTGTGTCTGTGTATATCAGTGTGTGTGTATCTGTATGTTGTCAGTGTGTGTATATGTGTCTATCTGTATATGTTCCAGTTTCTATATGTATGTGTATCTGCATGTGTGTTAATGTGTGCATCTGTTTGTATGTATACCATAGTGTGTGTGGCAGTGTTTCTGTAAACGTGCATACATCTCAGCAGTCAAATGCCAACACTACATACAAAGACACCCCTGCATTCAAACGTCAACACTACACACAGGCACACCTCTACATTCACACAAACATACTCCATACAAAAATATACTTACATTCCAATACACAAACACTGGCCTGAGATGTAAATATGTACTTGTGACTGCATGTGTGACTGCTTGTGTCTTTATGTCTCTGTATGACTGTGTCTATATGTCTCTGTATGACAGTCTGTCTGCATGTATATGACAGTTTGCCTGTTAGTGTAGATTGTATGCCTATGTGTCTGTATGTCTGTGTTTGTTTGATCGTGTTTCTTTATATCTTTGTCACTGTGTGCCTTTATAACCATGTCCGTGTACCTGTATGATTCTGTGTCTCTATTTTGTGTCTTTGTGCATATATGTATTTTTGCCCATTTATTAATGTTTGTATGGGAGAAAGAGACATAAATGGGCTGGGGGGGGGGGTTGGAGAAAGAGACATAAAGTGAAATAACTCTCCCTTCCCCTTGTGTCTCACCCTTCTCACTTGTGCCCCATCCTTCCTTATCTTTTCCTGCCTTTTATACAGAAACATAGCTTCCATCTTCGGTGTCCTGTAAATTGATATGCTGGTAAGAGGGAAGGAAGGTGGCGGACCAGTGATGCAATTGTGTCACTGCCTAAAGTGGGCATACCTGCAAAAAATTAATCCGGGCTGGCCCACTCAGGGCAAACCCTGCCACGGTTTCGATGCACTGTTACAATGCTCTCTGCAGAATCCAAATGCTGTGAGCATATTCCAAGCGTGTCTAATGATTCACTTGTGCTTGTTGGGAACAGTACCTTGTTGTCCCCAAAACCAGGACACCAGGGAGCCAAATCAGGCCAGGCCTTAGACGTTCAGGGTGAAAAATCTTCACAGCTCTCCTCTTTGGTCTCACCCCCTGACCACTTTCCCTAATCCAATACCTCCCACTATTTAAAACCTCACATTCTTATTAACCCCAAAACAAAAAGATTCGAAAGCTTGATGAAAATAAAAGTGTGTGTCAGTAGGGACTAGTGTGTGTGTGTGTGTGTGTGTGTGTATGGGGGCTGTAGTGTGTGTTTGTATCTAGAGGCTATAAATTGTGTATATATACGTGTAAAGGGATGCATAGTGTGTTTTTATTAGGATCAGCAATGTGTATACTTATATGGGCTGTAGTGTTTGTGTATAGACATACAGTGTGCATGTGTGTACAAGTGGTATAGTGTGTGTAGAGTGTAGTAGCTGCTCCTAATACATAAGGGGGCCCAGAACAGGCCATTGGTCTGCTCCTCTTGGCTCACCATCCCAGCCACCTTAGGGCACCAACTTAGCAGGCTCTTATTCAGTAAGGCAGAGTAGGCACCTGCTAACCCAAGAAGGCAGGTGCCTCTTCTGCCGAAATGTACCAGGGAGAGAGGAGGCAGGAGTCAGGCGGCGAGGGAGCACTGATGTTCTTCCATTCCTCACCGCTCTCTCACACGCCCTCTGTGGTGATCCCGGGAGGTGGAATATGACATAATTCTGGCCACGGCATCACTTAACAGTGAGGGAGCAATGAGGAACTGGACGTTTGCAGGGGCCAATGGACGCAAGGGAGAAGATCCCCACTGAACCACAAGGAAAAGATCCCCACTCAACCCCCTGTTTCAGCCAGGCTCCCAGCTGCTCACTCCCATGAGGATCCTCTTGGTAGGATCTCTGTGCACCTCCTGGGCCAGGCAGCATAGCAGGTGCAGGCTCAGCAGCCAATGACAGAGCTCGGTGTGCAAGTGTTTCTAAGGGGGCGGGTGCGGACTGAGGTGTTAGAGGGGCAGAGGATCTGGAGAGACTGATTATAATCTTCTGCAGGTTCACAAGAGCACCCCCCGGGGAGGAACAACTTGGTTGCCAGTGTGATTGCTAGCAGAATGCACACTCTGCAGCTCCTGCTGCTGCACTTCATAACCTGGCAAAATATTAAATAAAAATGTAATTACACTTTTCATTGTGGGCGACAGTATCCTTAAGATAGCCACTAATGTTGCAAGCTGTGTTGAACGTTGGTGTTGGCCGCCTGTAATCATGGTGCCCAGTGCAACTCTCACACCCCTAGGGCCAGCCCTGGTCGGGATGGTTGGAGATGACTTGAAAATCAAGACTATGCCATCAATATCGGGATGTTTGGGACCCCTGCGGATATTTATTGCGGGTTTTGTGTGAAAGAAGATGCTTTGGAATGTGTCTTCATTTATCGAATGAATTATTTGGTATTTATATGTTTTTAACCTTAGTTTTTTCTTTGTTTGTTTTTTTTAGACTCTTTTACTAGACAAATGGTGTTAGTCCCTCCCTATTATTCATATGTGTGGATGATTCCTGTAATGTAGACTTGACATGGCGGCCTCTGATTTTTTAATAGAGCTTTCTGGATTTCATATTTTATGAATTCCTGTATTACTACTATTTGGAGTATATATGTATATGACCCTTGCATGCTGGCTGTATTTACTTTGTTTAGTATATATTTAAAAGTATCTTCATAGTAACTAGTTGAAGTATATAAATTTATTCTGCATTAAATTCCCTTTAGCAGAACTTATTAACATTTTATCTGATTAGTATGTTGGTTCTTTTTGTTTTTTTATTGTTTGTGTCAGCACTTTTAGTACAATATATTTTAGCACTTTATTCATTGTATTTTGTACTGTATAACACGTTAGTTCACATTTTGTAACTTTACATTTTACACTTTTTAACACTGTCAGAATATTTATATCGGCAGACATTTTGTGCTAAGAAAGAAATTAAAAGTGTATATTGCCAGAGTCACTCAGAAGTGAGCAGACTCCATTTTGCTTTCTTCAGGATAACAGAGACATAGTTTCTTCTTACTTTCACTAACCAAGTGATAAGCAATTAAGCAGGGGGATGGAAT